AGTACAAGTACAACAGCTAGGGCTGGGCGCAATCGGCTATTAAGTCAGGAACAGTCATTAAAGTCTCCTCTATTCAACTAGCCACTATGTGGCTCTATGGGGTAGTCGAGAACGGGACGAGTGAGTGTTCGGTGAACGTTCATCAACAAATGCCACTATTCCCGATCGAAACAGGCAAGCCCACGAAGGCGTGACTCAATGGATTAGGCCGTTGGACTTCTAACCAGCGGCCACGGGTTCGAGCCTCGACTGGTGCACTATCGTGGATGGCATGTGGCTGGCTGATGATGGCTGATGAAGCCAGAATAAGCAATCATGTTCTTGGTTAGTAATGCTATTGCATCTATAATGACCACTGTGCAGCTGCTGGCGGGACTTAGGTGTGACTTTGGCAACTGCTCGGTGAGCGTCCATCCAACATTGTTAATAGACCAGTGCAAAACCGACAGCATAACGAGCCTGTGGTGTAATGGGGAGAGTATCGGACTTCTAACCAACAGGCCGTGGATTCGAATCGCGGTACTTGCCACCCTTGGAGTTGAGTGCGGTTGGCCGATGATGGCTAATAAGACAGAAACGACCATTCCAGTCTTTGTAAGTAATACCACTCTGCCTACAGTACGATGAGCCTTATTGAAATGATAGCTCCAAGCCTACCTGTAACCCCTGCAGGCAAAGTCTGTGCATCTTGCCACAAGCAGCTCACACCTCCCCCTCTGTGAGCCATCTGCTTGGTCAGCAAGTGCGGTAACAGCATCTTCGAGCATGGCTGCGGCAGGGCACATCAAGAACATATATACAAAGCAATTGAACAAACAAAGCGAAAACACACCTTTCAGGGGGCTTGCAGGCTGTGTGGCCGGACTGGCGGTGGAGGTGACGTCTGCAGAGAATACTGTGGGCTGCGGACCTAGACGCGGGGAGGAAGGCGAACAGAAACCTTGGTGAGGACTGCGTGCTAGTATGTAGTCGGAAATGAAAAGTTGAGCACATGAAGAGGAAAACCGCCATCAGAAGGGCATCACACCAAACAAGTTCTCCTCATCGGCCCGGTAGATGGCCACTGACATGGAAGGTCTGTAACCAAACTTCACCACAGTCGAGAGAGGGAGGGCTGACGAGGAAGAAGGTATTTTAGCAGCACCCCAATGTACTCCTCGGCGTAACACGCTGCTCTTTCCTGTGAGGATAATTTAGTCCCTCTTAGGACTGTGGGTCAGGTTGGAATGGCTGCCCTTCCCCCTAACGGGATTTTTACGACATTCTCAGTAAGGTAAGCACTGTCCTCGTGTTTGTTTTCGTTTTCCTTGTTTTCTATCTTTCTCTCTCCCCCCGACCCTCTCTCTCTCTCCCTTCTTCCTTTCCTTTTCCTCTGCACAACCTACTCTACAATGCTCATCTCCGGCCTGTTTTCCTTTTTCAACATTGCACCCATCCCACCTCGCGTGACCGATTTGCTAGGCAGTGAGCTGCTGCTAGCGGTGGGGGGGAGAGTGAGATCGACCATCAACGCATCCCATTTCCTCACTATAAACAATCTGACGCGCTTGAAACTATCGCGGTGCGCTAAAGGCATGGCTTGGAGGGTTGCCAACTGACGGGGTAACTTGGACACTGCAGTTGGTCCAGTATGTGTCTGATTGTGTGGAGTGGCTGCCTGCGGGCTGAGAGTCAGGCTGCAATGGCTCCTTTTCAATGTGACCTTTATGGCGCTCCCAGTGGGGAGCCTACCTAGCGAGGCGTGCTGTTGGTACGCCTATTGAGTGTTGGTCACGCCAGCCGTCTAAGTCCCCCCTCAACTCCGGCCTTCCTGACTTTTGTCTTGAAACCGTGCCCGGGTATGAGAGTGGGATAGATTCTCCCCGAGTCTACTTTCACTTTAATCCAGCGGCAGTCACCGCGTTGCTTCAACTTGTTTGTGTCACGCCAGGCGTGATGGCTTCAGCCGCTTGCGCCCATTAGGAGATAGGTTTTCCCTCGATTTTTTAAACTCACAACACCTTCCAATGCGTTTGGACAGATAGTGCAGTACGATTATCTGAAAAGCAACCACATGCCGCTTAAAATTCTAACTTAAAAATTAAACTAAATTAGACGATAACTAAAATTAAATAAAACAATAAACTAAAAATAAAATTGATGAAAATAAAAGTGACCGCAGGAATGTGAATATTTCCGTGGTTCGAAATGTA